TTTTGGGGTAGGATATATTATCATTCCTCTTTTGTAGATAAGATAGGCAAGGTCTGCAGCCCTGGGCAAACTACGGCCCTCAGGCCGGATCCGGCCCATTTGAAATGAATAAAACTAAAACAAAAAAAAGACTGTACCCTTTTATGTAATGATGTTTACTTTGAATTTATATTAGTTCACACAAACACTCCATCCATGCTTTTGTTCCAGCCCTCTGGTCCAGTTTAAGAACCCATTGTGGCCCTCGAGTCAAAAAGTTTGCCCTCCCCTGGTCTAGAGTCATAGTTATAGGCTTGAATTGTGCCCACCCATAAATTCTTATGTTGACATGCTAACCCCCAGTACATCAAAATGTGTCTATTTAAGCATTATAGTTATGAGTACACAAGACATAGATTTTATTATTATATTATTATTTATTAATTATTGTATTATTTTAGAACAACTGTAAACCCCACCCTGTATTTAGAAAAAGTCTTTAAATAAGTAATAAAGTAAATGAATTTATTGGAGTGATCCCTAAGCTGATATGACTGGTGTCCTTATGAGAAGGTTGGGACACAAACACAAAGAGGGAGGACCACGTGAAGACACCGGAAGAAAACTGCCATTCAAAAGCCAAGGAGCCCTCAGAAGAAACTAACCATGCCAACACCTTGATCCCGAACTCCAAGCCTCTATAACTATAAAGAAATAAATTTCTGTTGTTTTAGCCACCAAGTTGTGGTATTTTTTTATGTCAGCCCTAGCAAAGTAATACAGACAAAAAGTACTTTCCTAAAGTCATAAAGCCTATATGTGATCCAATTCCAGTCAGTCTGGTTCTTGAGTGCATGGTCTTAACCACTAAGCTCTACTGCTTCTCAAATGAGATGGTCAGCTACAGTCCCTCTAAATGGTGAGGTGGCTGACAGAGGTCTAATCTCTCTGATATGATGAAGAAAACAAAGCTGATCAGAGTGTCAGGATGCTTAAATCCTGGTCTTTGCCCCATCACTGTCACAACATATTGTCCAAAATAAGTCTCTTCTCTTTATGACTCATTTTCCCCAAATGTCTAAATGAGAAGTTTAGAGTAGAGGATCTCTATGGATCCTTTCTTGATCCTCTGTAGTTCAATGAATCTATCATCTCTGCATGAACAGAGAGTTGGTTGTACCATTGGTCCAATGGAAAACAAAAAAAGTTTTACTGAGTTATTCTAGATTTATTATAGAATTATTATATATCCGTACAATTTGAGCATCCTTTTTTCCCAAAAATTTACACCACAGGTAAATTTATTAGGTTTCCTCTTGATGATAATCTTTCACTGCAAACTGCAGTTAGTGTGGATAAGCAACTCCTTTCCTCTGGAATATCTATGGTCCTAGATACTTCCTGACCTCACACCAGCACAGTCTGGGTTTCATGATATCAGGGTTTTGAGTGCATGGTCTTAACCACTAATAATAAAATCTATTGAAATGAGATTTCCAACAGACGAGCTGCCAGACCTGATAGGAAAGCCTGCACATGGGTCTGGAAATTTGCGTACAAAAAGATTACTGTAGATACTGTAAACAATGCCAGTCAACCAAACACACCAGGGAAAGAATAAGCTATTGATAATTTATCTTTCTGAATGAGAAAATAACTAATATATTCCATTCATCCATAAGGTGAAAAATGTACCAAAGCTAGCCAACTACTTTCTAAGTACAGCGGGGTCTTGACTTACGAGTTTAATTCGTTCTGAGACCGAGCTCATTAAGGAGCTCGTTAAGGAGCTCCTTAACTCAAATTACTCTATCAACTCAATGCAAAAAATCTGCCGAGAGACAGCTGGTATCTCAAAAAACTCGTTTTAGTCAGTTCACTCGTAAGTCAAGGACCCACTGTATCTAAGTTTGCTTTATAGTACCAAGTCAACTGAGAGAAGCTAAGGACATAGTTTTCCAAATATGCTTGCAAAAAGCGAATGATTAGATTTGATCACATAACCCTGGCATTTTGCTACTGGGAACATATTAAATAGTTAAAATAAGCTTTGGGTACCAAGAGTAAGGTAAAAGCTTTAGGATCTGGCAGTAAAGTCAACATTACCAAAGGACATCCACCCACCTCTGGTCTTCTGAACATTGCTGCTTAAATAATCAGCCCAACTGAATCAATGTACTAGAAAAAAAAAAACTGCCCAGCTACAGTCTTGGGAAGCTCATAAACTTAAAACTTAGGGACTCCCCAATACCCCAGGAGCTCACTGTGAGAATCCCATTTTCAATATGTCTTTCCGTATATAGTAAGATAGGCCTTAAGCAGGACAATTGTCTACTAGACTGTCATTATCTGAAAGTGTTATGGGCTCAATTATGTCCTCTCAAGATTCATATATTGAAGCCCCAATCTCTAGTACCTTAGTATGTGATTGTATTTGGAGATAGGACTTTTAAAGAGATAGTTAAAATGAGGTTAATAAGGTAGGCCCCTATCTGATATGAGTGGTGTTTTTATAAGACAAGATTAGGACACAAAGACACAAAGGGAGATGACAACTAAAAGCCAAGGACAGAATCCCCAGGGGAAGTCAACCTGCCAACCCCTTGACTTTAGACTTCCAGCCTTGAGAAATGTAAGGAAGTAAAAATTTTGTTGTTTAAGATACCCAGTCTGTTATACTTTTTAAGTTGTTTTTATTAAGTTATTACATATGTGTCCTTATCCCCACATTACCCCCCAACCCCCCTCCACTCATGCCCTCACCCCCCTGTTGTCCGTGTCCATTGGTTAGGCCTATATGCTTGCATATAAGTCCTTTGGTTCATCTCTCCCCCTTGATCGGATCATTGGGCCTTGGAGGAAAGGTAGGGGAGGGTTTTTGAGAGAGAGAGAGAGAGAGAGAGAGAGACAATTACAAAAATAATGTGGGATGGACTTACACTGGAATAAGGATATGGTACTCTGGGATGGAGAAGAGAGGTACCTGACTTGGGAAGTCTTCCTAGAGAACGTTGGCACATCTCATGTGGCTTGGAAGGCAGTGTGTGAGGGAATGCTGAAAGAAGAAGCTGGCAATTGCAGCTAGGGCCAGGTCAAAATGGCTTTTCCAGAGATTTTGCCTATATCATTAGGTGATGGGAGGCAGTGAAAAGTCAGCCTGGATAAAAGGTGAAAACATGGTGAGGAGGGGCAAAACCAAAGTCAAGAAACCAGGTTTACAAATCAGGTGAGACATGATGCTTACCTGATATAATAAGGTCATGGCCAAAGTGTTAAAGCTACCATTTCAAAGTAAATAAGGGATATAGGACTTGATGACTGATAGAGGATAGAGCAGAAGGGAGTGGAAGGGAATCTTAAGGTAATTCCAGGTTTCTGGGACTGATGGTAGTACCATTAACTGGTCAATGTTAGCTATGTTGAGTATGCAATGCCTGTGGTAATATCCAAGTACAGATGTTCAGAAAGCAGCTGCATATGCATATCAGATGTCTAGTGCATAGCAGTTATTCAGTAAAGAAAAAAAGGGAATGAGAGGGGGAGTGGAAGAGAAAGGCAGCAGGTAATGAGATTTATCATACACAAGTTCAAATTATTTACCCAGCTGGTTTTCTTTAACCACTTTAAATGTTTAAACATCAATGTCTATTAAACACATTGGCACACCTTCCTACATGCTGGGTTCTGCCACAGGGGAAATATATTGTATAGAAAGAAACCAGGAAGTTAGAGACACAAGCTTCTGGTTCCACAGCAGGATGAAGTAGAATAGAAATCAAAGTCTTAAGATAATGAGTTCTTATCTAAGTACCAATATAATCTTGAACAAACTAAATATGTAGAAAATTATTAATCCCATCAACTACAGGACATTTGAAACTATGCCTTTCAACATTTTTTCTAGTATAAAAGGCACTATTAATTTTTCTGCTTCTATCAAATTAACACATTGGTATATACCTAATTGATTTTAGTTAAAAATAAAGAAGCAGACTAACATAATGAGAAAACTTTTTCTACTTTTTGCAATCTCTATAAGTTATTTTTTTTAATATATTTTATTGATTTTTTTTACAGAGAGGAAGGGAGAGAGATAGAGAGTCAGAAACATCGATGAGAGAGAAACATCGATCAGCTGCCTCCTACACATCCCCCACTGGGAAGTGCCCGCAACCCAGGTACATGCCCTTGACCGAAATCGAACCCGGGACCCCTCAGTCCGCAGGCCGACGCTCTATCCACTGAGCCAAACCGGTTTCGGCAGTATAAGTTATTTTTTTTTAATCTAAAATATTCAAATACATACCCAAATGGACAAAATTAAAGGTTTTAAAACAAGCTCATGACAAGATTCTTTTAAATAATTGAAACTAAAACTTGATAATTTGTTCTGTTTTTATAGAGAGAAGGAACAGAGAGGGAGAGAATGACAAATATCGATAGGCTGTTTCCCAGGTGAGCAGGAAAAAAGACCACAACCTGGGCATGAGCCCTGACAGGATATCAAACCAGCAACCAACCTGGCAACTTTTCAGTGCATGGGACAATGCTCAACCAACTGAGCCACGCCAGACAGGGCAATTTGTTCTATGTTTAAAAAATGGAAACCCTAGGATACAGAGATGGTTACTTATTTACTCTCTTCCAGTTCCAATGAAAACACCACTGCATGTCTTCTGAAAACAAAACTAATGAGTCTTACATCATTTTCTGAATGTAATCAGAAAATTCCCCTGGTCATTAACTACCACTTGGGTATTAAAATATCTGTAATTAACTCATTACCTTTTATGTTCCACAGATTCCTGTGTATTCATTTGATGAAAGCATGCCTTATTTTACCTGTCTATCTATCTATACCCCTCTTATTTAAAAATATTTTTGTTTTGTAAATGAGGGTATTCAATCGGTAGCTAATTATTTAAATAACGGTTCCATAGTAAATGTAAAGATTAGCAAGTCATAGACCCAGCTCTTCAATGAATTATCATCCAAATAGCATCAAAAGACATGCATGCAGGCTAAGTATCCCAATAGAAGGCAGCAGTTGGTAAGTGCTACATTGTAAAAAATGTACAGCATCCCAGGACTAGGAATGCTTCCAGATAAGATGAAGAAACACACACTTTCTAGAGGGCTTACTGCGCACCAGGCACAGTTGTGCACTATACACATCTACACATGCTACTTGGTGTTATTCTCATCCCTAGGTGAGGAAACCGAGGATCACTGAGGCCAAGACACTTGTCTAAAGGTTTCTAGTGCCTGTTGCAATGGTCCATTCATGCCCCCTTTCATTTAAAAAGTATCAACGCAATAATAACTTATACGGTCACATGAGCCATGCCCTATCCATATCTACCTCTGAGTAGGTGTTCAATCCCCAGGTGTTGATTGATTGACTGAGTCTGAATTAAGAGTAGAGCTCATGACTGCTGTGGACCTTTACATAAGAGTCTGAAGAAATGATGGTATAACTTGTGGCATATCTCTCTTCCTGAGCCTTTTATTCATCACATGTAAAATAAGATCAATGATTACACCCCATGCCTCAATTTCTGGATTACTGAAAATATTATTAAATTGTAAGAAATGTGTGAGAATGGAAGACCATTACAGAAACCCAACATTTTATCATTTTTTATTAGATTTTGCTAAAAATAAGAGAGTAGAAAATGTCCACTGACAATATACTACTGAATTCCATGTAGGCAATTTCTAAAATTGAAAAATGCATAGGCCTTTGGCTTCATATCTCCTGGGATGAAAATTAAAGTACACAATAGTGTGTGTGTGTGTGTGTGGTGTGTGTGTAATGACACAAATGTACACACATCATTATAGATCAGTGGTTCTCAACCTTCCTAATGCCGCAATCCTTTAAAACAGTTCCTCATGTTGTGGTGACCGCCAATCTCATTGTTACAAATTGAACATAATTAAAGCATAGTGATTAATCACAAAAACAATATGTAATTATATATGTGTTTTCTGATGGTCTTAGGCGACCCCTGTGAAAGGGTCATTCGACCCCCAAAGGGGTCGCGACCCACAGGTTGAAAACCGCTGTCCTAGAGGGAGGGAGAGGAAGAAGGAGGAGAAAGACGAGGGGAGGGAGAGGGAAAGAAAGAGAGCGAGAGAGAGAGAGAAAGAAAGAGAGAGAGAGAGAGAGAGAGAGAGAGAGAGAGAGAGAGAGAGAAACATGTATATGCAAGGTTTTTGGGGGGGCTTAATAGTTTTTCACTTGGACACATTCTATATTAAAGTTCTGAAAGTTTATAAAAGAGTTAATAGTCCAATAATTTTAAAAATGAAGACAAAGGGATATTTTGGTAGGGGCTGGGTGGGAGCTATGAAGGAAAAAGAAGATATTTGGCAAGTTTGAGAATTAAATTCCCAAACCCTTACATATACATGAACATAAATCTAATATGGCCCATATATATAATGGCATTTCACCAGAATACTATATATATATGCGCCTAAGTGACTGTTAGACCTGACGACCTATTGACTGGTCACTATGAGCTGCCCCCTGGTGATCAGTGCAAAGGATGGGCACCAGATGCAGGGCTCATGGCTGGCTTCCACAGACTGGAGACTGCAGCAGAGTAGCAGGGAGCCTACTGAACGGCTGTGCAGGCAAAGTGGGGCTAGGATGAGCAGTAGTGGAAGGCAGGAGCAGCAGGTGGCATTGGACTGCCAGTTTGGGCCCAATCCCTGCAGGCCACTCTGAGGGACCCACCAGTGCACAAATCCGTGCACCTGGCCTCTGGTTAATTATATAAAAAAAACAGGTATCTTACCACTGGATTTTATTCTCTTATTCTATAGTTTTGACCTTTCATTTTAGGTATTATTATGAATACCTTATACAATATTAAAAATTTTTAAACTCATAGGAAAATAACATCACCATGTGTTAATTTGTGCTAGTCAGGAATGAAATCTCAAAAACTCTATGTAAATGCTTTACATGACCCAGAATATTAATTTGGCATCCTCCAATAATTCCTGCCATAAGACAGGCAAAACTCATTCAGTTGAAATGTTCTTGGTTTTGTTTAAATAATGCAAGAAGTAACTAATGTGCAAAGCTTATTATTTAATTACTTTTAGCCACTGGTCACTATTCTTCCATCTACT